CTGCAGAAAGAAACAGGAGTCTCTTTTCCTTTAGAATAGGAAATTAAATGGGTAGAAATAGACAGAGCCAGCAATGCAGGAAATGACACCAGAATGTGAGCAGTGATAAAGGGACCAAAGTGAGAGAAACTGTGTGAAAGTAGACTCTGGAACTGTCACTTCTCCATGCAGGTGTGGTTTTGATGCTGTGTGCCACCAGCTTTTTGTAAAGCAGGCAGAGGAGTTGAAACACCGTGCTGACTCGCAGCACAGAAGTATTGTGCTGTGTCTGCTGGATTAACATTGGAGATTTCAAGCTGAGCTTTGCCCTTTGAATGGCCTGTTATGTTAAATTTGCTCTTAAAGGTCTTTTCAAGAGTTGGGTTTTCATAATGAAGCTGTCCAATCAGGTCCATTGTCTGCTGACCTCCTGCTGCTGACTTGTGCTGGTACCAGAACATGTAGGGATAGCTGTTGTCTCCATGGTAGCAATCGAGCTTGGCTTCTTGCTGTTGTGGTTTTATCAGAAGATTTAAAGGTGATTGCTGAATCACAAGTGCTGACAGCACAGTGTCTAGGACAAAAAGAAAAACTGGTTTGATATTGTCATGAGAAAGTACACACATCTGTTTATTTTCTACCTACCTGCAAACAAAGACAAAGACAATACAACAAACATTTTAAAATCCTTATAGCGATGCTTAATCTTCACTGTCGCTGCAGCGTTCTATATAACTATGATTTAGATATAGATATACAAAGCTATCAATGAAAGCACCCTGACACTACATCTTCCTTTATTGTACATTAGTGATGAGGAGGGAGGAGCTTTCTTATTACTATGTTCATGTGTCACCACTGCTCTCTGCTGTTCAGTCTTTTGTTTAGACATAAAACATTTTAAAGAGACTGAAGGAAAAACGTGAAAATGGAGAGCAGCATTTATAACTGAAAGCCAGGTTTCTTCCAAAGTGAAATTCATCACTTTCTTTGGAAATTGGTAATGGCAACAAATTTAATTTTGGGGGGTTTTATCTGTAATGAAAACCTCAGTGTGAAACTTCTGTTCTTCTGCACATGCTCTACAGGTGTGTGGTGGTGGCTGCTTAATTATTTTGTTGCTTGGGCATAGATGTATGGGTATAGATATAGATATTAAGCATGAAAATGACACGTGCAATGCTATGGCTTCCAGACTGAACAACTTATTTCTTTGCAATGCTTAGTGGGCGTGTCAGAAGTGTTAGTAGTAATCTGTAAATATAAACTCTGTGCAACCAAAGTTTTGCAAATAATGCATCCTTGAAGCATTTAGTACATTTTATCAAGGCAACATGCAGTTTGGATCAAAAATTATAGTCTGAAAACAGCCCAGCATTTTTTGCAGTTTCACTATTTTAACTTGGTACAGTTTCACAAAGTCTGTGCGGTTTCCTGTTGGGGTACTGTTATCTACCAGATCAGGATGAGGGTTTTTTGTATGAGAGCATCACCATCTTTATAACTGTGTATTCGTGCTGCTCCAAAATATTCTCCACTGTCTTCCGGGTGTCGTGGGTTCAGGATATGGAGATAAACTGTTTTTCTCCCATCTCCACTCACCTGAAAGTTGCCTTCAAATGGCTTCTCAACATTTAGATTTGTAAAATAGACGTAGGCAATCAGCTTCAGAGAGGTGTCGCCTTGTGAGCGCTGATACCAGAGAATGGTATCGTAATTAGTGATGTTATGAGTGAAGGTCAGGTTCACTTGTCTGTTTGTATCCACTAACAGTTGAGTTGGAGACTGAGACAGCTGTTTGTCTTTGCTGAGACAAGCTCCTGGAGAAGAAGAGACGGGGGGAAAAGGAAAAAGACATGCATATTTACCTTTTTTTTTTTTCTTTTTTCTTCTTCACATAAACTGATTTTGTAAGAGTTCGGTTTTACCTTTAATCCAGAACACGATTAGGATGGCAAGGATGAAACTAGATGGCTTCATGTTGGATGTCAGCACACAAATAGTGTCTTCAATGCTTTGAGAGTCAGAAGGAGAGACAGGAAGTGATGTAGTGAAATCAGAGTTGTTCATCAACAGCTTGTGGGTTTTTTTTTTGACAAATGGACTGGTTTTTAAAATAAATGTTTTTTGAGCAGAAA